GGGGAATACGTCTTTGCCTCGTTCGACTGCCAGCGCTATCGATAATTATGGAAGGTTCGGACGCTGCTTGCGAAAATGGGGTATCCATTGCAGAAAATCAAACGCGTTCCCACGTCGCCCCCCCTCCTAGGGTGGCGCGCTTGACTCTCGCAAAGACCCAATGCATTTACAGGCTCGCTTTGCTAGCAATGAGTTCGCCCTGGCGGGGGTCCCGCGGCAGCTCCGTCCCAGGGGCAATGGAACTCAGCCGATGGGCCCCCAAGTCCCCCGGGAAGTGGAGCGCCATCACCCGTCTGGACCCTGTCAGAATGAGCTTCGAGCTTGCCGCAGGAGCGCCAAGGAGGGCCATGCGGACTATCGGCTGGCATCGCTCGGACGTGTGCATTTTTTTTTTCGGCCAGAACCCTGGAGGATCATCCTGGACCATCGAGTAAAAAAAACACGCACAAAACCGAACAATGCACGGGAAATGGACGTCCGAGCGACGGCGGCAGAGCTGCTCCAAGAGGCCCAGGAGGCGGTCAGATTTCTCCGAGCCGTGTGGCGTGTAAGGCCGGCTGCCGTGGGTCGGGGGCCGCGGCGTTCGAGGAGGTCGCAGTCGTAGGCGGGGCGATCGGCAGAGGGCTGGGCGACACGAGGCCTGCCGGTGCACTCCGCAGCACGTCGGCCTGCAGCGATGCAGGTAAGATGCGCCATCGGCACCTCCGCTCCGAGGTCACCGCAGTCATCGAGCTTGCCCTGCGAGCGTCCCAGCGCGGGGGCCGTTGAGACGCAAGAACCGTCATGGCCAGTCACGCTGTCAGCGACAGGATCATGGCCCAGACAGCCGATCGTCGATCTCGCACGAAGGCAGCAAGTTCTGAAACAGGTTAGCGTCGAAATGGAGGCCCACCGGGTCCTGCGCTACGCTGTGCAACATACGGCCACTGCTCCGATGTTGGCCCAACATTCGTCGGATTTGCACCTGTGAGTCTTGGCTGTTGAGGCCCAAATCCAAGGCTTCTGGTAGGTCACGGGCGCCGCGAGATTTTCCGAGGCTACCCTTGCATTCTTGTCCCCTCGGCTCATCCTTGGTAACTTTCGCCGGCCAACCCCGTTCGAAAAACGTTCACATGGCGCTCCAAGGCCCTTGCATCCTTACCGCGCGTCCTTACTGTACGGGTTGACTGTATGCCGTGCCGCAGGAAGCATTGCGGGGTGGGTCCCAGCGACGGACTCTTTCAGCTCTGCTTCTCACCGCCCGTGGAGGACCTCAAAATTGCTGCCTGTGCCAAGAAGGTCCGGCATGGGCTCTCGCCGACAGTAGAGGCATTGCGCGCTGGATGTCGGCGGCGAGGGAGTGTGGGGAGTGAGAAGGAGAAGGCCTCCTCAGAAGGCGGCTGGGCTTCTCAGAAGCCCTCGCGCCTTCTGAATCGTTTCCTGTGTCTTCGGGGGAGGCGTGGGAAACTTCCCAGAAGGCGTGGGGACTTCCAAGCCTTCTGAGAAGGCCTTCTTCGTCTCACTTCACCCCCTCGCTCGCCGCCGAGGATGAGGATCGGGACAGGCAGAGGGCGCGGTGTCTTTCGTCGACGTCCCCACGGATGTGCGCATCGTGCCCCGAGTGGTCATCCCTGAGTTTGGCGTCCGTATCATTGCCCAGCATGCCCACGCGGTGGTCCTGCATGCGGGACGCAGGCGCAACGCTAAAAATGCTAGCTTGCTCATCGCTCCCGCTGGGCGTGGAGCTTAGGAGACAACCACGCCTCAGTTGCTCTGGCACGCCCGTTTTGCAACACAATGCGCACCGTGTTCAAAGCGTCCGTGTGAACACGCTGCGCGTCGGCTCAACGCGTTGGCCCACGTTTGGCGAACGTACAGCTCCAGACCGACGTTCTCGGTCTACATGTTGAGCCCCGCGTCAGCGCGCTACGGGCTGCGTGTTGCGAATCGGGGCGGCTAAGATCCAGGCGATTCGGGGGCCCACCGGGAGGGGCGATGGACGCGGCAGCTCGCCGCGCTCCACGGGCGGCAGGGTGAGCGCCTGCCCCTGCGGCCGCACCTGCCGTAGGCCCGCCAAGCGATCAGCCTCAGAGGGGAGCAGCTCGTGGGGCCTTCCATACCACAGCACGTTGCACGTCGGGGCGCCGTACCTTTCGGGGCTGCCGGGCCGTAAGTTTGGAGGTCCAGTTGGGCGGCGGAGAAACACATCGGGGCCTTCTTCACCGACGTTGGCACGTAAGCTGCCCGTGTAATGTCGCGCGTAGGCGCCCCCGTTTCCAACGTGGCTTGCCGCGCTTGTGGTCGCGTAAGCCGCCGCGTAAGACCGCTAGATCATCTCGCGTAAGACCATTCTTTGTGTCTCTCGTCTGTGGGCCCACACGACCCCTTTCGTCATGGTTTCGTGCGCCCAGTCATGCAATGCTTTAGTTTCGCCTTGCCCGTCCCTTGCCCCCTCAGCCTGCAATGCTTGATCTGTTGATGCACCGAGCTTTTCAAAGACCTGCAGCGCGAGCTTCGGACCGAGCATGCCCGACTCCCTATCCTGATCTGTTGCGCCTAAGAGTTGCCTTGACATGGTCAAGCAACCGTGCGAACTCCTCTGTTCCTTCCGGCTCTTGGGGGGATTCTGGAGGCTGTCGGGGATCTCTGATACACATAACTCATCGTCTAAGTAATCTCTTCTACCATCAGGGAGGAACAGATGGGCTTCCCCAGCTTGCGCGGGGCTCCCCACCCCGAGCGTCTCCTGGCACCCAGCGAATATTCGGCAGGCCGACGCGCGGCTTGGCGGGTGCCTTGATCGGCGTGGTTGTTCGGATACTGGTCGAGTGCGCCATGCCACTCACGAAATATGTGAACACCTTTCCAGAACTGTGAGACGGGCTTCGATTCCAGACTCTGCTTCCAAGACTTCTTCCAGGATCTCCAAAGGGGACTCCGTGCGGACCCAGGGTTGGATGTAGTTGACGGGCTCGCGAGGCCTGGTCGCAGGGAACGGTGCGGGCTTGTCCAAGACGGGCACCAGTAAGGGCTTCCCACACCTGAGCTTGAACAAGGCGGGCCTGTAGGGGCTCAGCGGGTAGTCGTCAAGGTCGCGGGCCCCCAGGAGGTCCTGGTCGAGGCTAGTTGAAGCCATGGAGTAGTCGATGATGCTAGACGGCTTTTTTAAATCTACACGTCAGGGTATTAGGGACTACAATCTCTAGCTCAGCTCTGAGAGGAAAGTGTGATGTACTGATCTTGTTGACCGAGGCATTGAAATCCGCCGCGATGATCATTGGTTGTCTGACAGCGCCCTGATTCATTGCGATCCCAGCTAGTAATTTAGGCCTACCCCGTTGGCCAGATCTACTGAAGCAGGCGCCAGCGGCCTATGACCTGATATTTCAAGTGAAGCAGCAGCGCATCCCGATTCTGCAACCCCTGCAGGCGTGGAGATGCGAGAGATACCGATACTATGTCCTCTTCAAACCAGGATCCTTCTGTCCTGGATTGGAATCCCCTTGGAACTGAGAACAGCTGCCGAGGCTACTGCTTGCCGCCCCTCCCTCCCGCATCATTGGAAGGTGTAGGGAAGAGCGTCTTCTTGAAGACAACGAACTTCTCGGCAGCAGATTAGGTCCACCTATCTCGCTGATGAGGACCTGAGAAACTTCCTGAAGGATCTCCAGCAACCGCCGTTGATGGTGGCCCCTCCCGCAGACCATCCTTCCTCTTGCCGGTGTCCTCCGCCTGGGCGATGGACCTTGCCTTCTCCTGGATCTCCTCGGGCAGCTGGATCTGGGAGGGCGCCACGTTCTGGCCCGCCCGGTGGAGTGCCCGACCCGGGATCTCTCCAGCCCTCCTGGCACCCTTGGCCGCCAACGCCCTCCCCTCGTCAGTGGAGGGCGCTCCAGCTTCCGCATCCCTCGCATTACATTTAGGTACTGGCTGGTCGACGCCTCCGGCAGGCTGGGGCTGCCCTGGCTGGGGCGGCTGCTGCTGCGGCTCTGTTGGCGCCGAGCCCTGCGCCTGCTGCGCACGCGCCTGCCTCCACTCCACGTCGAGCTGGGCGGCCGGACTCTTTGACTGCTGCCTGCACGGTCGGGGATGGCGAAAGGCCTGGCAGGAACTGGCTCTGGATGCAGCTCTCCAGAGTCGGTGCGGGTTCCGGGGGTCCTCTCGCCAACTCCTTTTGAGGCCCCGCTCGACTGCCATCTGGTGCTGGACTTCAGCTGCTGCACTTCCCGCTCAAGGTCTTGCATGGCTTTATTTGTTGCTTCCAATATTCGTTGGCCAAGTTGATCATTGCCTGCAAGGTTTTTACTCTCTTCTTTTGTGCCGCGTCGTATTGAGGAGGAGAAGGAGGAGGGGGAGGAGGAGGAGAAGGGCCAGGGGCTGTGAGGAACGCAGCAGCCTCGTCGCTCATGTTTGCCTAAACCTTAAAAGAGGAGGAGGGGAGGAGAAGGTGGATGAGGAGGAAGACGAGGAGGAGGAGTAGGAGGAGGAGGAGGAGGAGGAGGACGAGGAGGAGGAGGATCAACATCATCAGCACCAGGAGCAGGAGTGCGAGCGGCAGGGAGACGAGCAGCTGCTGGTGGAGCGCAGTGTAGAAGCAGGACGAGCAGCGGTAGGTGGATGATGATGATGTTTAGGAGGAGAAGGAGGAGGAGGAGGAGGAGGCGCCTTGATTTGTCAGACGCAACAGCTGTAGTGCTTATGTGCAGTACAAGGTGGCATGATGATGGGCGGGACAAGGAAGACCAGGAGAGAGGAGACAGGAAGGATGGGGTAGCGCATGGGCGGAGGAACGTTGCAGTGTGGAAGAAGGGAGGCGGGAGGAGGGAGCATGCTCCATGAAGTGGCAAGAGGAGGAGCTTCGCCGAGTTAGAGGCAGCGGGGAGCAGCAGGAGCTGCTGGAGCGCGGGGGGGAAAGCCTGCAGATCCAACCCGTCTCGTTCTTCCACTCCCTCCTCCTCCAGCTTTTGTGTTGGCCTTCCTGTGCGGATGTCGCGCGTCCCAACCAATGCGGCGGCCGCCAGGCGAAGGGCGCGCTCCAACCGCAAGTTGCGCACACCAGTTCCTGCGGAGGCCAGGCGGCGCAAAGGGGAGGAGAAGGATGGTGTGCAGGGTGGGTCGATGAGTGGGAGAGGGATGATGATGACGATAACGATGATGATGAAGATGATGATGGTGATGATGATGACGGTGATAGATGCTGATGTCGATGATGATGTTGATGCTGATGGTGATGGTGATGATGATGCTGATAATGATCATGATGCCTGTGCCGATGCTGACGTTGCGGATGATGATAATGGTGATGATGATGATGATGTTTGTGGTGTTAGTGGCAGTGGTGATGATGATGTTGGTGATGATGATGGTGGCGATGGCGATTGCGATGGTGATGTTGAGTGTGATGTTGATGGTGATGATGACGGTGATACTGCTGCTGATGATGATGGTGATTATTCCGATGACGAGGATGGTGCTGCTTGTGATGATAATGCTGCTGGTGATGATGATCATGTTGATGACGATGATGATGATGCTGCTGATGCTAATGCGGATGATGATGATGACCATGACGACGACGACAATTATGGTGATGCTGATAACGATGATGCTGGGGATGGCAATGCTGATGACGACGATGATGATGAGGATGAGAATGATGATGAGGAGGATGATGATGAGGATGATGATGCTGATGATGATGCTGATGACGAGGATGATGCTGGTTATGGTTATGATGATGGTGATGCTGATGATGATGGTGATGCTGATGATGAGGATGATGATGATGATGACGATGATGTCGACGATGACGACGATGATGAGGATGCTGATGGCGGTGATGATGATAATGACGACGCTGATATGGCTGATGATGAAGATCAGGATGCTGGTGATGATGATGATTATGATGATAATGAGGATCAGGATGAGGATGAGGATGAGCATGAACATGATGACGATGATGATGAGGATGATGATGATGTTGATGACGAGGGTTCTGATGATACTGAGGATGATGCTGGTCATTATTCTCATGCTGATGATGGTGATGATGATTCTGATGATGCTGATTATGCTGCTGCTGATGATGATGATGATGATGACGATGATGAGGATGAGGATGACATTGATGATGCTGATGATGATGCCGATGCCTCACGCAGATGCGGGGGACTTCGGCTGTCCGGCACCGTACCCTTCCCGCCTCCCGCTCTCTTGGCCCTGGGACGGGGCGGCCGCCTCCTGCTGGCTCTCGGCCAGCCCCGCCAGCTCTGAGCCCGGCGGCGGAGGAAGACGGGCACCGGCATCGATTGCTCGTAGATGCTGGGGCGAATGCCTGTTGCCCTTGGGGCGGTTAGCGCTCTGCAGGAGGTTCCATGGGGTCTTGCCTGCTGGGCTCGGAAGCCGACCAGGGCACTCCGCGGACAGGTTCCTGGCACTGGATTCTGGACCTTCGCCGCACATCGAGCAGGCCAGGACGGTCGAGCCTCCCCGGCGATGCTCCGACATGAGAATGACGTGACCATTCGGAAACGAACACAGGGAAGATGTTGCAACATATCGCCGCAATGCTGCAGGCATAGCATCGCGTGCGTTCTCCCACCTCCGACGCTACACTTTATGGATACTAGTATCATATATCCCATATCCCTATCTGGAAGATGCCTGGCCCTCTCCACGCATTGTTTTACACGGCGGTTCAACAGTTGTTGTCTTACGGCGCTGTGAACACGATTGATTTCGAGGTTCCAAGATGGCGTTCCCGATGCAGCGTGGACCTCATTTGCGGATCGGCGCGTTGCTCCCATCGTTCAGGATGGCGTTCTCGCCCCAGCACGGGCCACTGTTCTAGGTCCGAGTCCTTCTTCATCGATGTCGCCCCCCCTCAATTCCCCTCCTCTGTATTCCCCTGGTCATCCTGGTGCTCCCGCTCCTTCCACTCCAGCTCCTGCTGCTGGTGTTCGTCCTCGTACTTCTCCTCCTTCCTCATCCTCCTCCTGTCCCTCCTGCTCATCGTCCTGCTACTCCTCCTCCTCCTCCTCATCATCATCATCCTCCTCCTTCTCCTCCTCCCCCCCATGTGCGCGACTCTTGTTTTCCAATTACGCATAACACGATAGGGGTCGTTCCGGGAGTTCCAGGTCCGCTTTGACACGCTTCCGCATATAGATAACAGACAGTGCAATCGTAAGGGATAGCAGGGAGGGGTAGGACGCCAGCTTGGTCTTTGTTCTCTCCTCCCCTCTCTTCTCCCCGTTCTCCTCCGTTCCCCTCTTCATCCCGCGTTCCATCTCTCTGTTCTCCCTTTCCTTCTCCTTCTCCTTCTCCTTCTCCTCCTCCTCCTCCTCCTCCTTCTCCTCCTCCTCCTCCATCTCATCCTGCCTCTCCATTTTCGACCACTCCTCTCCTCTCCTCTCCTCTCCTCTCCTCTCCTCTTCTTCCTCTCCTCTCCTCCTCTCCCTCTCTATTCCTGCTCCCGCCTCCAGACCTGCCGCCCCTCCCGGCCTCTCCCCTCCCATCCCTCCCCCCCCCTTCCCCGCCCCCCGCCTCCCTCCTTCCCTTTCCTCCGTTTCCTCCTCCACCTCCTCACTCGCATTCACCTCTCTCTTTTTTTTTTCTCTCTCTCTCTCTCTCATTCCCTTGTTCCCTCCCTTCCCTCATTCTATAGCTCCTCCTCCTCCTCCTCCGCCTCGTCCTCGTTCTGCTGCTCCTCCTGGTCCTCCTCCTCTTTCTCCCCGTCCTCGTTGTTCTGCTTCTCCTGGTCCTCTGCCTCCCCGCCTCCCCTCCATGCTCATTCATCCTCCCTCCTGCTCCCTCTCTCCCTCCCCCTCTCCCCCCCCCCCACACCCTCTCCCTCCCCCCTCCCCTCTCCCTCCCCCTCTCCCTTCCCCTTCTCCCTATACAATTATTCAATATGAATACTACTCTCCCTCTTCCCCTGATGGCGTGCTGGGAGTGGCCGACCCCCCCCCCGCGTACTGTTTTTTCACACACAGGATTCCCGGGAGTTGGGTTTTCGCCTGCGTTTTTTTTCAGAATGCTGCTCTCGCTGAGGCGCCGGCCTCATTTCTGCTCCCGAATCGTTCCGAATCGTGCTCCCGCTGCAGCGTGGGCCTCATTTTCGGATCGGTGTTTGGCCTCCGTCGTTCAGGATGGCGTTCTCGCCCCAGCGCGGGCCTCTTTCTCGCGCGCCCATCCGCCCGCCACCACCGCGCCGCACCACGCCCCGCCCCGCCGCACGCACACCCACCGCCACTTCCACCCACCAACGCACGCACGCACGCACGCGCACCACCACCGCGCACCGCCACCACCACCGCACTACCCCACCCACCACCACCACGCTACACCGCGTCACACCACATCACACGCACACGCGCAGACACGCACACACACACACACACACACACGCACACACACACACACACACACACACACACACACACACACACACACACACACACACACACACACACACACACACGCACACACACACACACACACACGCACACACACACACACACACACACACACACCACCGCCACCACCACCACCGCCATCACGCACGTACGCACCTGGCCCACCACCAAACCACCAAGACGCCACACCACGTCACACCACAGCACACGCGCACACACGCACACACACACACACATACACACCACCACCACAACAACCACAACCACGCACACACGCACGCACGCACGCGCACCACCACCCACTACGCACACGCGCGCGGAGCCACAGGTCCGCTACGACACGCGTCCGCGGATAGAGAACATCAGCGCCCTGGTAAGGGATGGGAGGGAGGGGTAGGATGTCAGATGTTGACGCGAGCGCACCTAACTTGCCATCCCCCCTCCCCTTCTCCCTCCCCCCCACCCCCTCTCCCTCCCCCTCCCGCTGCAGCGCCGCCTTCATCTCCTCGCTTCGGCCATTCAGAATCATGCTCCCGCTGCAGCGCTGGCCTCGTTTCCATCCAGTTGTTCCAAATCGTGCTCCCGCAGCAGCACCGGCATGTTCGGTTCTTCCAGGTAGCGCTGCCGCTGTAGCGTTGCGATGCTGTGTTGTGCACCGCTGTGCGATGCCATGCGTTGCGTTGCTATGCTGAGTGATGCAATGCGTCATTACGTAATGCCACGCCATGATCTGACAGGCTATGCTCTGCCGCGCTCTTCTACGCCATGCTTTTCCATCCATGGCGTACCCTCTTGGGATCATTGCCCTGCTCGGCATCCGACTGTGTGAATAGATCGGAGATCTACGCCATGGTAAGGGATGGGAGGGAGGAGTAGGACGTCAAATGCGACGCCGGCGCACCTAGCTTGCCCCCCCCCCCCCCTCTCCCTCCCCCCTCGCCGCTCTCCCCCCCCCTCCCCCCCCTCTCTCCCTATGCCCTTGTCCTCCTCTTCCTTCCTCCTGCGGCCCATAGCCCTCCGTGTTCTCTTCCTGGTCGCCGCCCCCCCTCCCCCTCCTCCCCCGTGTGCCTCCCCCTCCCTTGGGGGCCCTGAGGCTCGAAAGCAAGGAGTCGTCGGAGGCCAGGGGACGGAGGCGGAGGACGACCAGAAGGAGGAGGAGGAGGAGGACGAGGAGGAGGAGGACGACAAGGAGGAGGAGGAGGAGGAGGAGGAGGAGGAGGACCAGAAGGAGGAGGAGGAGGAGGAGGAGGAGGAGGAGGACAAGAAGGAGGAGGAGGAGGAGGAGGAGGACAAGAAGAAGGAGGAGGACGACGAGGACGACGAGGAGGAGGAGGAGGAGGATTCTCCTCCTGCTCCTGCCCCCCCCCCCCCCGCAGCCGCCTCTGCCCGCGGCGTGCCGCGCGCCCGGCATGGCGGCCCCTCCCCCGGCGGCGCTCCCTCCCGCGGGCGGGCCACGGGCCGAGGCGGCCGCCGGCGGCGGCGACTGCAGCGTCTGCCTGGGCGAGCTCGAGGATCGGAGGTGGATGCTCAGGTTAGGTCGGGCCTGTCCCCCTACGGGGGGATTTTCGGCGAAAAATAAGAACTACCCAAAGTAGTCAACAAAAAATCAAAAAATAGCCTGGGGACTATTTTTTGGAGAATTTGTCGACCTTTTTGGGGCATTTTGGGCGTATTCTTCATTTTTCGTCGAAAATCCCTTTGTAGGGGGACACGCCCGACATGATGCTCAGGAGGGAGAAAAACACACAGACAAAATTCATCGTCGCTTCCCCAGACTTGTCCGATTTCGCCGAAGTTGTCCGACATGTCCTCGTCCGATGTGTCAGGTTCGTCCATGTCCGATTCGTTCTTGCCCGCTCGTCCCCTCTGCTGTTTCCCGTGGCCTCGCCCAGTCTAAGAGGTTCCGTTCTCCCGGGCCCTCCCGACCTTCCCTTCTTCAGTGGCGCTCCTCCTCTTTCAGGAGGAGAAAAAGCACACAGACACAATGAATCGTCGATTCCCCCGAAAAGATGGGAAAATATGGGAAGTGGGGGGGAAGACAAGAACTTAGAAAGCATGGGAAAATATGGGAAAGTTTGTGATTTGTGTGTATTCACTTGTGTGCCCCAGGGCCCCTTCACTTGATGCAGTCAACCGGTATGGTAAGGATGCAGCCCCTGCTGCTTCCAGGGACGAGCCTTCTTGACGTGGAGCATGGTGGCGCCCGCCGGGAAGGCGGTTTTGCACTCCCCGGAAGAGCCGCCATGGGGAAGAAGCCAGTCAAGAATCTGTGCTCAGCGTGTCGCCGCGGCGGCCCCAGCGACACGCTACAGTCAACCCGTATAGTGAGGATGCGCGATAAGGATGCAAGGGCCTTGGACGCCCATTTCGAAGCTTTTCGAGCGGGGCGCGGCCAGCGAAAGCGGCGAAGGATGGACCGAGGAGGCAAGGATGCAAGGGTACCCTTGGGAAGGTTGCCCATCCTTACTATGCGGGTTGACTGTAGACCTCCTACCCTGACGCGTCGATTAAGGAATTGGCCGCTTTCGGTTCGCGAGAGGGCGTCGCGGCCGTCGTTTTTGCGGTTCCGGGTCCGGCGGTTTCGGTCCCAGGCCGTTGTCACCGAGGGGAGGCTTGCTACAGGGAGGCTTGTCCACCGCCGAGAGGATGCCTGCAGCGCGCCCTGCGGGCACGCCTTCTGCCGGCGCTGCATCCTCGGCGTGCTGAGGCTCGAAGGAGAGAAAAAGCTTAGAGGTGGGAAAGGCATCCGTACCTCTACCCTTCGTCTATTTTCCCCTTTCTGGGCTTCCTTGGGGGCCCTCGCTGCCACCGCTGGATTCGCCTCGAAATCCTGGTCAGAACGCACCCTGGGAGAGGTCTGGGGAGTCGCGGTATCGGCGCCTTTTGAGTTCCGCAAAAACGGCAGAAACATCCGGTCGGGCCCGAGGTCTAAGATCGAGGCCGGTTCGGGGAGGGTGCCCCAAGGTTCTTCTTCGTGTTTTGTTTGATGTTCTTGTGCATGCTGGCGGAGGGTACCCTTGAATGTTCGTCAGTTGGGGCCGGCGGAGGGTGTCATGATCTTGGAGGATGTTTTTCTGCCCTAGGTCCGACCGTAAACTTGCGACGGTCCCCGCGGATTTCTTGGATCCGCGCTGGCCCCCTCTGGCAGCGCCTCCGGCGCCACCCCTGGCGCGCTCCGCGCGCCAGGGAGGGGGGTCCGGCGCAGATCCAAGAAAGCCGCGCGGACCGTCGAAAGTTTATGCTTATGCCGTTTTGTCTTCCTCTCGAGGAGTAGCCCGCCAGAGTGGAGCGGCCTCTGCCCACTGTGCCGCGAGTACACGTCCGTGTTCAACCTCCGCTCCTCCGACGGCCAGCGCCTCGTCGCGCCGCGTGCGGAGGCGCCCTGGGGGTCCGTCTTCGTGCAGGGCGGAGGCATCGGGGTCGCCAGCTACCACTTCGACGCCGAGGACGACTGCTACATCTCCTACGCTCGGGCCCCGGGCTGGAAGCTCGACGACGGCAGCAGCCCGCCTGCCAGGAAGCCCTGGACGGCGGTGCAGTACGACCCGCAGAAGTTCGTGTTCCGAGGGGTGGTGGAGTGGAGCCCGGCCTTCGGCGGCACCGTCCGCTGGGACTACCGGCTGCACTTTGCGGAGGACTTCAGCGCCATCATCGGCGGCAGCGTGACTTGCGCGCCTGCCGAGGGCGGTGATCCTCACGTCGACAGGCTCGGAGCGGGCGGGGACGAGGATGGTTCCGCTCCAGAGCGCTCCGGAGCGCTCGCAGGCCGTTCCAGAACGCTTGGAGATGGCCCCGGCGCCCGAGACATCCTCCGGAGCCGCCGCACCTCGAGGTGCGGCGGAGGAGGAGGCACCAAACCTCTCTGATCAGAGAGGTTCGGTGCCTCCTCCCCGGAATTGATCCTCGTCCTGGCCTCGTCTGGAGGTTCTGCCCGCCCTGGGAGGTCAGCTGGCAGCCCAGCGGGCACCTGTATTACCTGCGCTGGAACGCCCCGCCCGCCGACCCCTTCGGCAGCGTGTTCGTGCAGGGGCTGCACTACGCCCCTGGGCTGGAGGGCATCGCCAGCTACCACTTCGACTCCCCCGAGGACTTCGAGTATTGGGATCGACTACAGCATGGATTTACCCCACAGCCCAACATGGATGTTCCGTCGAAGCTGGGAACGAATGCGCGGAAGGCTCTACGGAGCATGCGACGCATAGATTCTGGGGCAGATCGATTCTGTTGTCGATCCCATCCCAGACATCCAGCTGCTCCAATTTTTGTTCGATGCGTGGGCCCTGGAGGATTGGACAACTTCCTCAGGGCCGGTCTTTCATCTTGAGCCGTGCTTTGACGCTCCCAGAGCCCGGCGAGGGCCCCCAGAGGCCGAAAACAGCCAAAAACCGCCCGCTCCAATTTTTGTTGGAGCCTCGGATCGATGGGTGCTCGAGGACTGTTACATCTCGTACTCGAGCGCTCCGGACGAGTGGCGCTTGGACGACGGCAGCCACCCGCCACGCCGGAAGCCTTTCGCGGACTGCGCCTACGACGCGGACAGGCGGACCTTCACCGCGGTCGTGCACTGGGACCCGCCCTTCCACGGCGACGTGCGCTGGGAGTACGAGATGGTCTTGAGGGGCAACTTTTCCCCGCAACCGCTACCATCTGGTAGGATAGGGAGGAGGAAGAGGAGGAGGAGGAAGAGGAGGAGGAGGAGGAAGAGGAGGAGGAGGAGGAGGAGGAGGAGGAAGAGGAAGAGAAGGAGGCTCCGTAGCCATTTTGGCTCAAGCCAGCCTCGAGCCCCCTCGCGCCTTTTCCCCCGCGCATGGCCGGTCTAGAGTTGGCGCTGCAGGAGCTGGAGGACTCGGGAATGACTACGGGGGGTGGCCCGAGTTCGTGGCCGCCCAGTGCTATGAGGACAGCCGAGATCGCGCTCCTCGGACCTGCTGCTGCTCGCCGCGCAGCGCGTCGCAGGCGCCAGGCAGCCTGCGAGGCCACCTTGCGCGCCAGGGCGTGCGTGGGCGAGCCAGGCTCCTGGCAGGACAGGGAGCTGGCTGCCAGGCACGCGCTGCGGCTCGTGTCGCGCGGCCTGCCCGTCCACGGGGGCGCGCGCAGGAGGAGGAACGCAGCGTGGCACGCCGCGCGCGTCCCTGCGGCATCACGAGTGCCTCGCAAGGGGAGCTCGCGTGGGCGGCTGCTGGCCCCAGGCTGGGCTCCCGCTTACGGGCCACCGCCGACGTTTTCATGCCGCAAGCCGCTGTATCTGGAGAGGGTGCTGCCGAGGGGCCGCCCGTCCCTGCTGCCGCTGCTGGTGGGTTGCGGTGTACATGCGGGGCGATAGTGTTCTCCTCTCGCTTCGCCCTGTCTTCGGAGGATGCCGCGTCCGACCCCATCGATATCGACGAGTGTGAATCATCTTCCTGTTCCTCTGCTCGCACTGTCCCTCGTCCTGCTCAGGAGGAGGCGGCCGAAGGGGTCGCGCGAGTTCCAGACCGATGTGATGCTGCTGGTGAAGCTTCAGGCGCTGCCGCACCTGCGTGGGTGCCCGTGGGCCTTCCGCTAGATCCTGGTGAAGGCCTCCTCTTCGCCAGCGGGGGCGCGTCGTCATCGGATCCTTCTTCTTTTTCAACGGCATGGCCTTCAGCTGGAGTGTGGTCGCCGTCGGCCTCGGCATCTGCGTTCACGTTGTCTCGGTTCGTTGCTTCCGAGTCCGAGGATGACGCGTGCCAGAACGAGTGCGACCTCAGCGACGTGGATTTCTAGCTGTGGAGTTCGTCTTCATCTATACCTCCCTCGGCGCCAGCGGCCACAATCTATACTTGGGCTTCCTCTTTGTGGTATGGCGGCTTGAACACGTTGCAGCACATCCCCCAGGTGCTGTACTCCGTTTTCTGTTTCCTGTCCCTCGCCGCCGTCGTCCTGGTGTTCGTGGAGGTGATCTGGGAAGAGATTCTTGGGGTGGAGCGTCGATGTCAAAAAGAGAGGAAGAGGAGGAGGACCTCCCCATCCTCCCTTTTCCACCGTGTCCTACCTATGGCAATGGTGGTGCAGAATGAGCCCATCAGGTCTTCGCGGAGGACTTCGGCGGCATCGCTTCTGGCCAGATGCGGGGCTACTCGGGGCCCACCACTCGCAGCAGGAGCCGTGGGCTTCGGTGGCAAATCATGGGAGCTTGGTATATACCTTTTGGATTCCGTCTCTAGCGGACCCTAGCGTCGATTATAGCGCCGATGAGCGTCTGGAGTCGATGGAGATAGCGCCGATTTGGCGTCGATTTAGCGTCGATTCGCGTCGATTTAGCGTCGGTAAGCGCGATCTAGCGTCGATTAACGTCGATTCGCGTCGATTGGCGTCTGGGGGTCGATGCGAATTGGCGCCGATTTGGCGTCGGCTAGCGCCGATGAGCGCCCACTTGGCACCGGCCAGTGTCGATTTCGCGTCGATTCAGCGTCGGGGAGCGTCGACCCGGCGTCGATTCGCGTCGGATTCGCGAGAGCCGACGAGATGGTGCTTCCCTGAGAGTTGCCACCGAAGGCGAAGCGCACGGCCGCAGCCACCAGCCTCGCTCGGCCGTACAGTGCCGTTTTTGATACATGCCCCGCGTGCGGATCATGTGTTAAACATGCAGGGACATAGTATTAAAAGCAACGATGAGTTCGTGCATAATTTTATGTAGGAATTGTTCATGTACCAAAAACCGATCATTTTTTAGAAATACCATGTGTTAAAAACTGCCCTGTGGCCACCGGGGCCCCGCGGCCCCGCGGATACAAAGATGGGGCGCTCCGCACTGCGCGGGCGCCCCGCGCGGAGCGGGCCCCGTGCGGCCGCGCGTCCGCGGGGGGCCGCGCCCCGGAGCCCGGTGCGGGCAGGATTTGGTTCCATGCGTTTTTTGCGTCCCTTGCCGGTGTCGGGATCCCATCTCCTCCTCCGCCTCCTCCTCCGCCCTCCTCCTCCTCCTCCTCCTCCTCCTCCTCCTCCTCCTCCCTCCGCCTCCTCCTCCTCCTCGGATGTTTTCCCCGGATCCCAGTGTCGGGTTTCTTTCCTCCGGTAGCCGCGGATATGGGCACAGACAGCGTCGCCCCTGGAGTCGGAGGCCTGGAGGCTGACACCAACACCAGCATCGGCGGTGTGCCTCCACCGAGGGAAGAGGATCCAGCTCTCGGCGATGGTGCCATTATTCGGGCTTCCTAGGTGGCCGAGACATTGCCACCAACACCAGGCTCTAGGATAACGTTCCCTCAGTGGAGTCACCCCCCTGTATTGGTGTTGGTGCCTACTTCCAAGCTTCCAATCGACGTCAGATGTTTACAGTCGACCCGCGTAGTAAGGATGAGCGACTTTCCAAGGTTGCCCTGGCATCCTTCCCCTTCGGCCCATCCTTGGCCGCTTTCGCTTGCCGCCCCCCGCTCGCATCCTTATCGTGCGTCCTTATTATCCGGTTTGATTGTATGTATATCCACTGCGCTGCGGCTTGTGGGCGCCCCTTCCAGAAAGTCCAAGACGCAGTGGATATGGTTATGGATATACATACATACAAACATATATATAAATATATAAATACATACATGCACACATACATAATACATACATACATACATACATACATACATACATACATACATACATACATACATACACACACACATACATACATACATACATACATACATACATACATGCATGCATACATACATACATACATACATACAGGCACACACACATACATACATACATACATACATACATACATACATACATACATACATACATACATACATACATACATACATACACATATATGTATCTATACACACATATATATATACATAGCAGGCGCAGGAGTACAAACAAAAACCACTAAACCGATAAACCGATACACCGAAGTCATGTATCGGTTTATCGGTTTATCTGTTCGTCGACCGATAAACTGATATTTTCAGATTCGCACGAAGCGGTAAACTAATAAACCCGTCCCTTGGGCTTTCAGTTCCGACTGCGTCTACCGGTTTATCGGTTTATCGGCGCATTCGACGCGTAGCGATGCCCCAGCCTTAAGGAGACCGCCCTGGCATCTCGGCCTGCGCAATGGCGTTTATCGGTTTATCGGTTGATCGGTTTATTCGGTGCGTAGCCACGCCCCTGCCACCACCGCTACACCCGTCCTTCGCCCCCGTTGTCAGTTTTGATTGCGTTTGTCGGTTTATCGGCTTACTCGGTGCGTAGTCATGCCCCAGCCCTGAGAACCGAGCCCTAACGCCTCGGCCCGCGCAATTGCGTTTACTGTCTCATCGATTTATCGGTTTATTCGGTGCGTAGCCGCGCCCGAACCCTGACTCCGCAGCCCAAACCCTGGAACCTCAGCCCAATTATCGGTTTATCCTCGTCTTCGGGTTCATTCGGGAGGCAGGCTGTTCATCATCTGTGCTTATTCTGGATTGGTATTTGCCGCCCCAGACAGAGTAGTGAACACTATACGGCCGAAGTCTGGGGTTAGGGTTTGGGTCAGGGGTTAGGGGTTAGGGTTCGGGGTTAGGGTTAAGGCTTCGAGTTAGGGTTAGGGGTTAGAGGTTGGGATTCGGGTTAGCGCAGGGTGAAGAAATCCACAAGCGGACTTCTTAAGCACTTTACTCTGACGCCGTGGCGCGCCGGATGGGTGTAGGGTTTAGGGTTTGGGTGAGGATTAGATGGTAGGGATTAGGGTTAAGGGTTATGCTAGAGGTTTGGGTTTAGGGTTAGGGTTAGTGTTAGTGGTCAGGGTTAGCGTCCGGATTAGGGGTTAGGGTTAGGGGTTACGGTTTAGGGGTTAGGGTTAGGGATAGGATACAGGGTTAGGGTAGGGGTTAGGGATTAGGGTTATGCTAGGGTCAGGGTTAGGTGTGAGGATTAGGTGTTCCGGTTAGGTGTGAGGATTCGGTGTTTCGGCTAGTGTCATGATTAGGATTAGGCGTTAGAAATTGGAGCGGTGGGTTTTTGGCCGTTTGCGGCATCCCGGGGCCGTCGAACTCGCCCCAGGAGAGAGTCGTGGATTTTTTCTTTTGCCCCTCCTCAAGCGGCCAAAGTCCTGCACGCGCTGCTGCCGGGAACGTCAACTGGCCAGCATACCGATCCTGGTTTGGCTCATCCTGGCCCAGGATCGGTGCATACGGGGCGGTGTGTATGCACGGATATTCTCGCCCTACGAAGCCATTTTGCCTAAAGCGGGCTGAGTCTCGAAGTCTCGCAGGCGCCGCTTGTCTTCAAGCCGATGATCCCCAGGACGTGTCTGTGTGTGAATGTGTGTGTGCTGATTGTTCACCCTGTTCAGCTCCACTGATAGCACGCAGCCTGTGTCAGCCCTCGCTGTAGGTACACCGCCTGCACCGCCTTCAATGGCTTCGGTGAACAAACACACGTTGGCGCTAATGCGCGTTCCCAGACATTCGACGATCTAATTTTTCCAATGTGCGGCCCCAGAGGACCCGACCCCTTGCACAGGGACGGTTTTTCGTCCCGGACTCATTTTTTGTTCCCAGGTCCGATGACGGGCCCCGGAGGCCAAAATCGAGAGAAAACATCAGGATGAACAAATCAGATCAAGCTGCTCGCGGCAAGTTCCCCCACCGTGCCAGCCCAGCATTCTGGTTGGCGACTGTTCGAGGAGTCTCAACGAGGCCGTCACATGTGACACCTCGGGTCCCCAGGCTTGGCAGAAGCGATGAAATTGGGGATGATGCTGGTGATGATGATGATGATGATGATGATGATGATGATGATGATGATGATGCCGATGATGATGAAGATGGTGATGTTGGAGGTGGTGGTGATGATAATGCGACTGCTGGTTATGATGATGATGCTGGTGATGCTGATGATGATGAACATGATGATGACGACGATGCTGCTGCTGAAGATGATGATGCTGTCGACGACCACGACGATGACGACGATGACGATGATGATGCTGATGATGACGATAAGAGCGACCATGATGATGATGATGATGATGATGACGATTGTACTGCTGCTGCTGATGATGATGCTGATGAGGATGATAGTGACGACGATGCTGATGTTGTTGGTGATTAGTATGTTGATGATGGTGATGCTGATGATGTTGGCGACGATGATGATGATGCTGTACATGATGATGATGATGCTGCGGATGATGATGATGATGACGACGATGCTTCTGCTGCTGATGATGCTGATGATGATGACGATGACGATGATGATGGTGATGATGATTAGTATGATGGTGTTGGTGGTGGTGGTGATGATGATGATGATGTTGATGATGATGATGATTATGATGATGATGATGATGATGATGATGATGATGATGATGATGATGATGATGATGATGATGATGATGGCGATGACGATGAGGAGGAGGAGGAAGAGGAGGAGAAGGAGGAGGAGGACAAGGAGAAGGTAAAGGAGGAGGAGAAGGAGGAGGAGCAGTAGGAGGATGAGGAACAGGAGGGGGAGGGAGAGGAAGGCCGTCACATGTGACACCTTTCGTCTGCACTTCTTAAGGAGCCCTCACGGAACTCATTTGGACCGTCTTGGGGCCGTTTTGGCCTCCTGTGCTCGGGGTCCTTCGGGGCTGTCTTTGGGCCCTCCTTGGGCCGTCGTGGGATCCTCTTGGGTGTCTTGGGGCTCTCTTGGGCCGTCGTGGGTGGGGCCCTCTTGGCCGCATGAGGGGTGTCTAGGGGCCGTTTTGGCGCCGTCTTGGGCCGTCGAAGGGCCTTCCGAGACCGTCTTGGGTCCCTCCGGGAGCCCTCTTGGACCGTCTCGGGTGCGTCTTGGGCCAACGTGGGGCCCTCTTGGGCCGTTTTGGGACCCTCTTGGGGGCTTCGTGACTCTTGGGTCGTCTTGGGGCTATCTTGGAGGCTTCTTGGAGGCGTTTGGGGGCCCTCCTGGGCCGCTCTTAGAGCGTTCTTGGGCGCTCTTGGGGCTTTCTTGGGGCCTTCTTAGGCCCCTCTTGGTGCTCTCTTGGGCCGTCTTGGGCCGTCTTGAGTCCTCAGGCACAGCCGGAGCGAAACAGCGAGAAGGCAACACACATAGATTTATCTTAGATGTTGAAGCCATTTTAGCTTCTTGGGGTGTCATTGGATGGCTCGGAAGGGGACTTGAAATCGTCTTGGAGCCGTATTGGAGCCTCTTGGATGCGTGTCGGAGGCTATCTTGAGCCATCTACGGCTATCTTGGGCCATCTTGGACGCCACTCGGGCCCTCTGGGGCCCTAAACCCTAAACCCTAAACCCGAAATTCTGGCCCAGACGCATCCCTGGATGAGGATCGCGGGTCGAATTTCGAGGATCGAGGATCGAATTTCGAGGATCGAGTATTTTTCCACCTTTTGTTGGGCCTCATGGGACATCCTCGCACCCACGGCTGGATTCCCCTTCGAAATTCTGGCCCACACGCACCCCGTGATGGGTCCAGAGGTAGATTTTTCGCTTTCTTTCCAGATCCCGAAGGCTTTCTTAATACACCTACGGGTTCCCAGTAACTCTAAAAGGACTCTTGGGATCCCGATGGACTCCAAAGACTCCCGAAGCATTCCGAAGGATCCCTGCAGGATCCCCATAGATTCCTCGGAGAGTGCACGCCGATAAACCTGTAAAAGGATAAACCGGTAAACCGGTAAACCGATAAACCATTAAACCGATAAACGATCCCTCAGGATTTCCTAGGACCCTTGCGGAACATGCACATGCATGATTCCAAAATGATTTCCCAAGGATGAACTGATGAACCGATGGACCTAACGGGAGCGCAGGGGAGCTCGTAGTTTATCTACCGGTTGATCGGTTTATCGACCGATAAACCAATACACCGGTAACATAATATCGGTTTTACGGTTGATCGGTCGGTGAACCGATCAACCGACTAGTTTTTGTAGGCTTATCGGTTTACCGGTCGGACAGATTTCCCGCGACGGATGCCGCTACACTTTCTCTCTATGTCTATACATATGTATATATATATACATATATATATATATATATATATTGGAGGGAGGGAGGAGGGGGAGGAGGAGGAGAGGGAGGAGGAGAGAGGAGGAGGAAGAAGGAGGAGGAGGAGAGAGGAAGAGGAGGGATGAGGAGGAAGGAGGCGGAGGGAGGGGGGAGGAGGAGGAGGAGGAGGAGGAGAGGAGGAGGAGGAGACGGAGGAGGAGGGGGAGAGGAGGAGAGGAGAGGAGGAGGAGGAGGGGGATGAAGGAGGAGAGGAGGAGGATGGAGAGAGGAGGATAGGAGGAGAGGAGGAGGGGGAGAGGGGTTTGGAGGGGAGGGGGGAGGAGGAGGAGGAGGAGAGGAGGAGGATTCTTATATATATATATATATATATATATCGTGCCCGCACAGACCGCGATAGCGCGGATAATACGGGAGATGCTGCGCCGCACGTGCAGGACACATGAGTTCGGCCAGCGGCGCGCCTTCGGGGGCCCCTACCTCTGCTACGTGAGGACTGGCGGCGAGCCCAGGAAAAGACTTCGGGGGGCGGGCCTTCTCGGAAGGCTTGGAAGGCCTGCGGCCCCCCGAGAATAGGGCGATCGCAAACATGAATCAAGGGGGCGTGGATTAGCGACGGGTCCCGTTTCCGTGGGAAATCGCGGATGTCCGCCGCCCAACGAGGCGGCACCGGCCGCACTGTTGGGGTGGACACCTCCCCCGATCCATGGATCTGGCAACCGCGCGCCAAACCCATGGATCGCCAATCCATGCCTGCGCGCCCTCGAGCCCCCTCCTCCCTCCCCCGCTCCTCCCTTCCCCCTCCCCCCTCCACGTACTCCTCTCCCTCCTCCTCCTCCTCCTCCTCCTCCTCCTCCTCCTCCTCCCTCCTCCTCCTCCTCCTCCTCCTCCTCCTCCTCCTCCTCCTACTCCTCCTCCTCCTCCTCCTCCTCCTCCTCCTCCTCCTCCTCCTCCTCCCCTGGAGGAGGCAGAGGCGGCCTCCCGGCAGGCCGCAGGGCTCCCAAGCAGCCCCGCCGCTCTCCGAGACAAGGCCTCCCCCCTCTCGGACGCGTTTCGGCTCTCGGGGTCGCAGCTCGGCGCTCCCGGCCGTGGCCCTTCGGGACCATCCGGGCACCCCGGGACGCTCTCGGGCCGGACGAAAGGGGGGGATTGGGAAAGGGGGGGTTACGAAATCTGCTGCATGCAGCTGGTTTCGGCCCCACCGAGGGGCCCATTCCTCGATACATGGGCGCCTCTGGCGCCGGGAGGCGCCGGGAAAATCAGCCACGTGAGCTGATTCTCACCCCCCCCCCCTTTGCTATCCCCCCCTTTCGCCCGACCTGACGCTCCTCGACGAGGCGGCGCAGCCGCTGGAGCGCAACCCGAGGCTGCAAAACGGCCGAGCACCGACGGCAACGCCCGAAAGCCTCGAACCCCGAAGCCGAAGCTCCCACCCCGACCCGGAAATCGAGGAGGACGTGGAGATCGAGGAGGAGGAAGATGAGAAAGAGGAGGAGGACCAGTGTAAACCCAAGAGTCATCAAAGATGTTGGAATAAACCCTCGCTCCAAGCCCCCCTTCATAGGCCCCTACAACGGTTAATTGTCATTTTCCAGCTGCCTCGTTGGAAGACAACCGTTTGAAGATCCTGAAGCATCATTGTTCTCGGGACTTCAACCCCACGGATCAACCTGACTGCTGCGTCTTGACGATCTGGAATCGAGCCAGAAAGCTATGCTTGGGAATCAACATAACGGTTGCACCTGCATAATCGCCAATCCTTCCAAGACGCCATTCCTGGTACGTTGATCATGGGAATCCGTGAAACTCTTCCGAATGTTATGAACGAATGTGCGCGGCGCTTTGGCGAGTCCCACATGTTGAAAACGACCCGCCCTCAATCCGTGAAATTTTGACAACTTGTTACAACGAATGTGCGCGGCGCGAAAGGCGAGAGCCGCATTTTGAACACGACCCGCCCTACATCCGTGAAGATGTTGCATATGAAACAATGAATGTGCGCGGCGCTAAGGCGAGAGCCAGATTTTGAACACGACCCGCCCTACATCCGTGAAGCTGTTGCATATTTTGAAAACGAATGTGCGCGGCGCTAAGGCGAGAGACAGATGTTGAAAACCACCCGCCTTCAATCCGTGAGACTCTTGCATCTTTTGTAAACGAATGTGCGCGGCGCATGTGCGCGGCGTTAAGGCGAGAGCCACTTTTTGAAAACGACCCGCCCTCAATCCGTGAAGCTGTTACACATTTGTCGAACAAAGGTGCGCGGCGCTAAGGCGAGAGCCTCATTAAAAAAACGGCCCGCCTTCAATCCGTGAATATCTTGCAAATGTGTTGCACGAATGTGCGCGGCGCTAAGGCGAGAGCCAGATTTTGAACACGACCTGCCCTAAATCCGCGAAACTTTTTTTGCAAATATTAGAAACGAGTGTGCGCGGCGCCCAGACCGCCCTAAAAACTGGCCTCGGGGTGCGACAGGGGGAAGTTATTTATAAGGGAAATGAATGGAGGAGGAGGAGGGGGAGGAGGAGGAGGAGGAGGAGGAGAGGGAGGAGGAGGAGGTGGAGGAGGAGGAGGAGGAATAGGGAGGAGGAGGAGGAGGAGGAGGAGGAAATCGAGGGGAGGAAAGGGAATGGAGGCGCGCCGCTGCGAGGAAGCCCGGGGCGCTGGCCCTGAGCGCGCGGCAGGGCGCCGCCCTCCTCGCGGGCGGGGCCGGCGCCCCGCGGGAGCCCGCGGCGGCCCCGCGGGAGCCCCGAGCGGGAGAAGGTGCGCCGCCGGGGCCCCGCGCTCCGGCGGCGCGGCCGCACGACGCTGCCCCGGAGCCTCCTCCTCCTC